ATAAGCTGGATACACGGTTGTGCTTTATCTTCGATGTACTATCCCTATGCATGTGCTCTTCAAACTTTTGGAAGCTCTTCAATGCAGACATATTTTCGCTAAAAATATTTTTAAATCGAAGATAATAGGAATTTTTTTTGCAAATATTGTAAATGACTTCGCACGACTTCACTGCCTCTTTCATATACGTTCTTCATTAACATAAATGCAAATGTCTGCCTCTTTAACGATCCCTCCATCGAAATCACGGTTAGCACGACGCTTCAGCGAAACAAATTGTTTTTATTATTTTTGTTAGGTTAAGTTGAAAAGTATAATATGCGAGTATTTACTATTCGTAATAACGATCACTTGTTTTGTTCAGGCCAAAAATATATACTGCCGATGCTGCACCCTTTATTTGGTAGAAAATTCAACATTTTCGTTGTACGATTGTACAAAAATTTTTTTGTTTCAAAATTTCTTTCAAAAGTTTATTTCAAAGTATAAAATGCTTAGTAATTTTATGACTCGTAACCTCACGCTTTCAAAATTTCTTAACACCATAACTACCGACGGGGAACATTTCCATCCCGTACTTTTGTCCATTTGCCGTGGAAGCTGATACTTAGCACAAGCATTCCTTAACCGATTAAGAATCGAATGCTAAAGAAATGATTGCGATCTGCCTATATATATATGCCCGCCGGAAGTGAGAAACCAGAACAATGTCAAAAGAAAGGATAATCCGTTCATGTGTTCGTCTATAACTTTCGATCCTGTAAAGGTATTTGAGTGAATCTGCTCCAAATCCATCTGCCGGCTTGATCTAAAAATGGTTCTGATCGGTTCACTAATACGTCCACAGTTTACGATAAAATTTTAATTCCAATTTACTTCTAATTTGTTTTCTATTGTATGGAAAAACTGCTAATCTGTGTTAGAATACATGAGAAATGATTGTATTACCACACCGATCGAGACTATTTTAGGATTGGCAATGAAATTGATCCTAACGGACACTTGAGTCATAAGAAGGTTTTAAGAAGTATCTTCACGGAGTCGTTAGTTATAAGTGAGAATGTGAAAAGGATGTCGGCGTCTCTCCGTAGCTATCTTTCTTTCACTTTTCTTCCATATTGCGGTTAAGCACAAAAATAGAGTGCGCCCAGTTTTTAAGCTCGTATTCTTAATCGATCAAGGAATACCTATGACAAATATCAGGTTCTTACCTTTATTTTTTCGAACCATGCCGGCAAGTCGGCAAAATTAGTGGATCAAATTGATCCCTTTTGGGTAGAAATAGGTATATGTCGTCAGCATCTCGGGAAACTAAGCCAGCTAAAGGACTTTCTTATAAATAAAATGCTCGCAAGAAATCTTGGAGCATTACATTCTTCATAACCGTTTTTCTGAAGATTGCATATTAAAAAGGATGAAAATGGCGTCTCCCGTGGTACGAGTGCTAAGTTATATATATACAGGGTACTTTCATACGAGGTAACATTTTAAGTTTCGTTTTGTTCGCCTGAGTAGCCGAAGGCGAGGAATCTCGACTAGCAAGTCAATGGTCGTGGGTTCGAATCTCAAGTGCGGTAGAGTTTTTAATAAAAGCCGATTGCCTTAGATGCTAGGGCTTTTAAGAGTTTAGTCTTCGAATTTATTTCTCTGGCGAAATTAGTAATAATAATAATAAGTTTCGTTCCATTTTTTTGATTGTCAACAAACAATTGTCATTGCGATGACATTTAACAAGCGAAAGCTCAAAACTTTTAAGATACATTCGGCGATTGGATGCCGGGAATGCGTGAACAAAATTATTTTGAAGTTCGTTTTCACACCTACGTTTACGCAGACCTACAAAATCTGGTTACTAGGCCATATTTACAGCGACTGAATTGCGTTCCGAGCAACATTGACTGCCTGTTCTTGTGCTTAAAATTAATGCTATGCGTCACGTGCCGCGCAATTCTCGATTGCATGATTGCTTCAAAATGACACCTCTTGTTGGAGGAGTCTTCTATGTATAATTATAGATGATAGTTTTTAATTGCTAACCGTAATTATCAAATTTTGTTGCTTACATCAATAATTTCACGCAAAACATATCACTGTCAACCTGTCATAGATAGAGAAAACTTTTTCATTTGTTTTTTTTTTTTTGTTTTTTTTTTCATTTAAAATCAAATTTTGTAGGTATTTGTTAGCAATGTCTGGCCTGTTCTTCATGTTTCTTTTGAATTAGTTAAGTTAGTTGACCCGAATCCGAACTTTTCAATAAAACGTTAAATGACAAGAATTGTTTGAATTTATTTTAATTAAAAACAAGTACAAATTTTACACACTGGGTAAAGAGGAACTCTGACTACCCTATAGCTTTGAAGAAATTTCGAATTTTTAATCACTTCAAAATCAAGATTTTTCGAAAAAGTCTCATACAAGAACGGATCCAAATTATATATATATATTACTGTTGTACAAATTTACATCACATGTACATCTGATTCATGGAGGGGTTGAAAAATGTTCAGTATTCTATCCAAAATTTTGAATTAGTATTTTTCATTGATTTTCATCGAACGATACTAAGAATGATGAACGTTTTTCATTTACCCATAGTCTATCAAATCAAAATATGGACTAATAGGCGTAAATAAATTTACAAAATGATTTTCTATCAATTGACACAAAAATGAAAAATCAGTTTCACGTTATTTTCTGGTGTGGGATAAAATCCATCTGAACATATATCAAATATACCGGGCTCTCTAAATGTAGTATGAATTGAAAACCTATTATATATATGTATATTGTATGCATGTCTTAAATCGAAACTCGGATATCCCGTATTTATAATAAACACTATCGGATGGGATGTCAGTGTAAGTGCCTGACTTTATCTTCACATTGATTTTTTTTAATCATAGCTACTTTCGTATTAAATGTTCGTGAAAAGGGCTACAAACGGGCAGACATATATGGCTTATTTAACTTACGACCGATCACTGATCTGAGTACTCTATATGTACACTAATTATGTATGTTTTTTTTTTTTTTGTTGTTCTTTAAATATTCGAAACATAGCAATCGAACATAAGCTTTCAAGAACAACGCGTATTATATTATTTTCCAAAGTGCACTGCTTTGTCGATTTTTTCGGCTTTTTATAAGCTTCTCGCACGTTCACTCTGTGCATAGTGGCAAAATTTTTAATAGCTGTACTCGAATTCTCGCACCCGACCAACTCAGACTAAAATATTACTTTTCGTTTATGGTTTCCTTAGTTTGAAAGTGAGCAACTAGGAAAGTGTTTGGTTTGAGGAATACGATTGTTTATCTTCTCAGTAGGTTTCTCGCATCTAATTTATTATTTATTAAGAGGTCGAAACAAATGCATTTAATTAACTTGAAGGAGTTACCTATCATTTTCCTTTTAACAATCTTATCTATCTGAGTGTTTTCGATAGATCGATGGAATGTATGTGAAAGTTTTAACTCTTTCGCCCTGATGAACGGACAGACATTTGCATTAGACAATATACGATCTTGATCAAGCTTTTACAAAATTAATTTACCATCTTTCTTGGCGATATGACAGGCAGCTGTACACAATTGCGCAGTGAAGATACTGAAGGATCGCATTAAATATCTTTGTAAGTTGTAAGTGTGTATTAAAGAAGATAGATTCGAATTTTCTTTTATTTCTTTGCGAGACGATTGATTACTCCATTCCCCCCCCCCCCCCCGT